CGACAGATAGAGGCGAACAAGAAGATAGAAGAAGGAAAGAGTGACATTGACGTCTAGAGACGGCCGGCTCAAAAATTGACTTTTTAAAAAATCAATAACCACAGATAACAAAATATTTCTTTCTTTCAAATTTTTTTTTATGGTCTCCTTATGGGTAACTCGTGAAAGTAGAGTCCCCTGGACGAAAATTACTTAGACCACACGTTACGGGTTGAACCACACCCTCTTTTGGGCTTAAGGGTCCCTAGATTATCTACTATCATTAAAACGTTGATTTTTACATAACAATCTGACAAAATTCGATTTGGTAATGAAAACCGTTATCGAACAGCAGAAGTTTAATGTCCCTAATTTTAGAGTAAGAAGACCCCGACAAATGGTTCGAGTGTCATATTTTGGGCTCGGAAGACCCTGTTCCCCTATACCCTCTCCTTAACTCGTCTCGGGTATCAGCGCCGCAGGCTTAGCTATATGTGCGCCAGGGGCGTCGCAGCGTAACAGTGTTTCGTGAGATGTCACGAAGCCTGTTACGCGAGACGTGGTCTTGCGTACATATAGCTAGTATTAAATCGTGGAAGAAGTTACGACGCCTGCACACCAGAGGGTAGGCAAGCCGCTACAACGGGTGTTTGGTACAGTTAACGCATTTTTGCTATGGCACAATAAAACGTTATGCTCGCTCGCTATTTGGGGCTCGATAGCCCTTCGGTCCGGCCACCATACCGCGCAGGCGTTGTTCCCATATCGACAAGTATGGAAACATCAACATATGTAGGGACGGGTCGATGGCCCGTATCAAACGCCGCCGGCAGGCCAGGCGAGGCCCCCTCCCTACTGGACGAAGTTGACGGGTGGAGCGAAACGGAGCTGGTTTGGTGGAAGAGCGGCAGGCGTGGGTAGGGTATTCCAGGCTATCCAAAACGGAAGTAGGAAAAGAACAAACTCACTGACTTTTCTGTTTCCGTGATGGCTCTGAGCTGATCACGTGTCACGACGGCGTTTCAGGTATGAAAAACCGTCAGGTCAGTTTCGAGCTCGACTCCATGTTTGAGAGGTTAGAATCGGACCAAACTACCATGGCAATTTCTCATACTGAGCGGACGGAAACAGATTAATCGGTGAGTTTGTTCTTTTTCACTTCCGTTCTAGATAGCCTGGAACACCCTATTAGGGAAGGTTCCCCCTGTCGTCTCTAGAGAGCTGCCTGAAAAGTAGGCAATTTGCGACACGAAACCCTTATCTGTAGGCAACCAGCAGTGCACCCCCCCCCCCCCTCTCCCCTGTCAGCCGGACCTTACTCCGCGCCTGAAGAGCGGGCCTCGCTTGTTCCACCTTCACCCGTGAGGACACCCGTGAGGACACCTGCTTCCGTGACGACACCAACACCTTTTGCCAGCGTGCCTTTTCGACTGAGTGGCTCTACACGGTAGAAAAAAGCCCTGGGATTCTCAGGAGTTTTCTGCATTCCCAAGAGGAATTGGGAAAGCCCCAGGGGATGCTCTGGAAACGTGCCTTTTCCCCCAGGGGATGTCCTGGGTTTCCCCGTAGCTCCTCTAGGAATAACTGCTTGTTTCCAGGGCATCCACTATGGGTGCGAACCGGTGCGAACTCTCCCGGGAATCCCAGGACTTGTGTAACGACCACGACCGGGAAATGACCATGAACCAGCAGCTGTTGCTCGGACTGTTCGAGTGACCCGAGCATGCTCCAAAACACCAACAAGAAAAACCTCTACTACTCCAACGGCGACCCCGGTGTCCCCGCTTCATGGTCTGGACGCAACCACAACAGCCCTGTACGTCGTCGTCTCCTACGTGCACTGCCTGCAACAGGACATGCATGTTTCGAGTTACTTGCGTGTCCTGCGGCAGGGTCATGCACTTTGGGTACACGACGGCAGGCTACTGAGACCTGCGCAAGCGCTCCAGCACAATAGAACAACAACCAGAAAGAAGGACGCCAGGGCCTCCTCAAGCAGGCCCAGCGTATGACGAGAGCCACTGCAAAAAACTTCCCTAGATCGAACCTAGGCGTGGCAGTGCCAATGGCAGACCCCGACCGAGCAGCAGTCGAGCACGCGGCTCATACAGGTGATGGACAACGGCCTTTCACCGTCTGGGAAACAAACATGGTGTACTCGGTCGTGCTCTCAGCCGAAACCAGCTCACCGTGTCGAAGCACAGGTTCTTGGATGTAGCGAGTGTGCCCCTTGACCGCCTGCTAACAATTAGATTGATAGCAACATCAAGCATGACGAGTTGTCAAGGCTACACTCGCTGCAACTGCACGAAGGGGTGGGTGGCACCCGGCAGTGCGGCTGCTTAAGGGCTGGACTTGAATGTAATTCCGAGTGCCACGGCAGCACCGGGTGAAAAACAAGTAATTAGAACATTAACAGCATCACACCATGCAACCCCTACTTTCCCACCCCTCCCATCCCATCTCTCGGTCGGTCATTGTCCAACGTCGGTCGGCCCACGTTGACCGGCCATGTACAGGTCAATGTTAGTTGTAGCCGACATCGACCGAAAAGCATTGGCCGATCCTAAGATGGACCGGTCCAGGTTGGGATGGACTGGTCACCGGACCTGGTCCGTAACATCAACACAACATTAAATGACATAGTGCCCGGCTAAAGTTGCACACTGCTTACAGGGGGAAAACGACGTCCTGGTTTTCATGACCTTTTGGAAAAAAACATGACGTCTTATGGAAGAAATGCATGGGAAACGTCATGAAATATCCGTCCAAAAAAATTTACCTTGCAAGCAGTGAGCAACTTCTTGACATTATTTAATATGCAAGATCGAGAGTTGCAAACATTGGTGTGCAAATTTTGCCCACTTGTCTCACTAGTGTAATATAGTGATAACGTATTTAAAATTGATTTTACGTTGACGTCGTCTTTTCTGCACAAGCCCCATGTTTTAGAAAACGAAACGACGTAACAATCCTGCCAGCGAGTTCTCTTTTTATACAGTAACCACTTCTTTAAATCTTGTTTCTAACGGACTATAGGTCAAAGAATTAATAGGAGTGCGTGCGAGTAAGGACGACGACCTTAACGAAACACTCTCATCTCCGTACTTTCTAATAATTTGATGCAACTGAACTACAGCTAAAAGGAATGAGCACCCCCCCATTACCTTAAGCCGCAAGGCTATTCAAAAAATTCGGGAGTCTTCCAAAGTGACTTCCAAATCTAAAACACGAACGACTTTGTACGTCGACCTCTTAAAATACGTGTCTTTACAGAGCTGCCTTGTGTCAGGGCAACGACAAACAGCCTGGGGGTTTGCCTACTTGCTCGAACCGTCCCCGGTGGAACGCGATTACTTTTAGAGCGCCTGTTCAGGAAAATCACGGAAAATTTCCACACCGCAGCACTGATTGGCCACCAAACTTCACAACCACCAAACCTGAAGGGGGGAGATGGAGCGGCAAGGAACACGTCCGACCCCTCCGCTCCGTCCTCCGGCACGCGCCTTATAAGCGCTAGAAAACTTTACGAGAGTTTTCTAGCGGTGCGTGCCTAATAGGCACCCTAAAGGTGTTCGCGTTCGACCGGGGGTACCCCTAATAGAGAATAGACGTCTATAGATGGTGATAGTCTAATGCCCATGTAGGAGTCTAGCAGGTCTGCCTGTGTAGACGTCTCGACAACGATGTTCACAGGATGTCAATTATACGTTTTCTTACATCTTTTTTGACGATCCAGTCTATACCACCAGGTTTGGCACGTGGGGGAGCGGTGCGTTAGTTATTATCGTCCTAACTTCCCCCCGCCGGCCAACAATCACTACTGTGAGCTAGGCCACGCCCCATTCAGGCGCTCCCAGCCCCACAAACAATATACACTCAACACTCAACACTCCTCCAAACCTGGCCTAAAGGTGGCCCAGGCCAGGGCGCTGGGCCGCCGAGGCCTAGACGAGCCTAGACTCCAACGACGTGCACCTCTGGTTGCTGTCTAGCGCTCGTCGAAAGTGAGGGTGATTAGCACGACGCCGCTCACTCGTCCAACAACTGCCTGGTCTCACAAGGGAACTCATAAATGTTAGTCCCCGACGAGGTCCCCGATTTTGTTCCGCCTTGGGGGTTTTGTAGGGTCATCGTCAGCAAAGACGGACGACAACAACGCATAAGGCCGGGAATCTCAGAACAAAAAGTCGTAACTCTGGTTCAAGAACGCAGTAACGCGTTTAATTTGGATCATCCCCGGCCAAACTACCCCCTCGGAATTACAACCCCTGTTTGAATATCGGCCATTTTGGACCCTAAGGGTTGAAGTGAAACCTGCTACACATAGTGAGTGCGGAGTGCGTTGCATACCGTGCGTCCAGGCGTGACAATTTCAGGGAAGGTTCTATTTCTGTCAAACACTTCCGTGGTGGCGAACCCGCCGCACTGTTAAAAAAACTATTGTAAATTAACAACGAAAGTGTAGTTCAGTTTGTTAGCAACACATGTTGTTTTTTAACAACACATGTTGTAAAATAACATTGATAAAAATCTTGGAAACAAAGTTTCTGACCAAAAACAGTCACTTTTGTGATGCTCCTGGGAAAAACAGTTGTAATATTTACGAGTGTGTTGTTTTTGAACGAAATGTGTTGCTAACAAAATTAACCACTCTTTTCTTGTACATTTACAACAAAGTACTACCAAGTAGTTCCTGTGGTGGGCCAGTATAAGCCAAATAACACAAGTATCGCAAGGGGTCAAATGAAAACAACATTTGTAGTTTATTTACAGCTGTATCGTTTAAAAAATTGTTGTTTTTTTACAACATTTTTTTAACAGTGCGTCACCATCTTCAACCCCTTCTTAGGGGGTGGACACCCTCCAGTGTCCCTCGCACCCCGTCAGAAGGGGATGAAGGTTGGGGTCCATGCGCATTTCTTAAAGAACACCCCAAGGGTAGCGGGTTTGCACATTGTCACTTTCAGTGCTCTCCGCACTCACGATGTGTTAGCAGGTTTCAAGTGTCGTATGCTTACCGAACCAGAGTGCTGTCAAATTTCAGGTTAAAGTGAGGAAAAGGTAACGGGTCTTCCAGTCTGAAGATGTAGTCAAAGATGAGCTGGTAGATGTGGTCAAAGATTCCTTTAAGCATAGGCGCATATGCTTGAGCCTGCGATCCCCTTGTGATTCCAGCGCTGCCTCTGTCGTGCGTGGAAGAGAGCTTCACAAGATGCAATGATACTGGTGTGGAGGTGGGACGAAAAATATATAGGTTTCCGGTGGAATTGCCAGGTTGACAAGTTTCTAAATCTTACACTTTGCCAGACGCTGCTCGTGCACTGCAGAGAGGGACGCTGCGGATGAAGCTGCGCCGGAGCCTGTGGAGCCCGCAGCTGCGATCAGCACGGTGATCATCACTGCGACGAGCAGGAGTGGAGCCATTCAGCGGAATTAAACCTTGAGCAGAAAGAACGGAAACTTGGGCTAGGGTATTCAACTTTCTTTGGAGATAAAATCTCCGACGGCAGCTGTCCCGTCGGAAATGGAAACCTTCTACATGGAAATGGTGCTGTGAAAGAATGTGGGAATGCGGGTGTGGCCCACTCACCACATGAGCCCACAAACTGACCAGTCGTATTAAACTTATGCACCTAACAATCTAACTTTGTACCAATATTTAAGAGAAGGTAAACCTACAATTCTCTTTGGACAGTCGGCCTTATTATTAACAGTGCCCGCGCCCGCGCCCGCTCTCAAAATCGTGTCGTATAGTTCAGCCCTTCCCCGCTGGGGCGGCTTTATTAAATTGGGCACGAACTTTTATCAGCAATCTTTTAGTATATAGTCAACATTGAAAACCCCAAAGATTGAACAGATTCGGGAATTTACACTTGAATGAGTCCCCTTGTAAAGGAGACCATAAAAAAGCCAAAAATTCCTACTTTTTGGACCAACACCAGGATTTGCACCAGGCGTTTCGTTGTCAAGGAGTGACCCCTTAGATACCCTGAAATTTGTAGACCTAGCTCACATCCGTCCTTTTACACGGACGACGGACGGACAGGCGGGCGCGAGAGCGGTTGCACAAGCCCGCTTTAATGCTTTTTTAAAAGCAGAAGGGCGGGCTAAAAATATGCAAATACTGCCAAAAAGGTCAAAAATCGCAAGAATTTGCATATTTCCAATTCCTAATGTCCGGATTGATTTGTACTGTTAACAGACAGATTGAGTTTAAAGATGAGCAATCTAGCTATAAATGACCTCGTGTCTGTGTGTGTGTCTGTCTGTCTATTTTCGCTAGAAGTAGATGTGCAAGAGACTTGAAATTTTCAGAGTATCTTATTTAGGTTCACTCCTAGACAACGGAACGCCTACGGCGAAGCCTGGCAACTACCCCTAAGGGAGTAAAGAGGGGTGTCAAAGAAAACAGTGAGAAAATAGTAAGTTGTTCATTTGTACGCGGTTCAACAGTGTTTTGTGTTGGCCTATTCTGTCAGTTCATATTGCGGCATGGCCCCTGCGGTACGGATTGGCATGGAAACCCGCAACACTGCACAAAGGGGTTTGAGCACAGTGTCGATTGTTGGCGCGGTACTAAGGTGATGTGGAATTGCACTACAACAAGTGGTCGCGGCGACCTGACGCTCTGCCCCCACGTGCGGCTCGTGTTGTAGAAACGGGTTCGATTGAAAAGGAAGCTAGGAGAATCTCTTATTATCAAGAATTGCACCAGAATCACCAGAATCTACGCCAACAGCGTATGGCGGTGAGCAGTGGGGTCAGGCTAGTAGAGCTTAGCGCAGCTATGAGAGGCGCGGCCATGCGAGTGGCCACTGTATGTAAGCTTGAATTGTATTTTAATTAGATAGCCAAATAAATGACAAAATAATTTTAAATTTCAATTTAATCTGAGCATGAGCGGTTAGTAAATTTGGTTGTCTTCCTTGTTCAATGTACACAATGACTAGACTAGACGCTACCTGAAATTTAAAATATGCACTATTTAGCCACATTACAAGAGGAATACATTCAAAGAATAAATATACCGAAAGGAGTCCGAAGATCGGGCAGTCCGAATGTCACCCGCGGTACAGTCCGAAACCACATCCCGGACTTGCCGAAATTAGTGCCGAAAAGGAATCTAATCAGCACCCTTATCAAAATATTCTGTACCGAAATCAGTCCGATTTTCGGACAGTCCGAGACGACATCCCGGACCTTGCCGAGAATACTACCGAAAATGTGTCAAATCAGCAAGTTTTCGGACTGTCCGAAGGCCGCGACCGGGCGTCTATCGGACTGTCCGATGCCCGTGCCCGGACGTCTTCCGGACTAGTCCGAATGGTCCAACCGGCTTAAAAAAAGCTGGACGAGCGGGATTCGTTCCCTCACCTGTCGGTCGTCGGGTCCCTTGACCGACGCTCTTACCAACTTTTTTTTTTTTTTTTAACAGTCATGCATGGGCCAGATCGCAGGCTCTTATGCCTTTGATCATTTAGGGACCACACCACCGGGGGGAGGTTGGTGTGGGGGAGGTTTTTATTTCATTTCAATCAAAGAGGCCGAAGCCCATATCATCATCTTTGATGGCTGACTTTTTGTTTTGTGACGTGAGTGGTGATGTTTCTTTTCTTTTGCGTGTTTCAGGTGCTGGGGGTTCGATGCCGGTCCCAACTCGCTGCAGCATTGCTTCCCTCCTTTTGTGCCACCCGAGACACGTCCCTCCGCTGCGGACATGCTCGGTGACATCCTTCACCAGGGTCATCATCTCAAGATTTTCAAGTCCGTTAGCATTCTTTGCCATCACAGTTTCAAAATTGAGGATCTTCTCGAACTGGTCTTGTTGGTGCTCGGTGAATGGCTGGTCTTCTGCTGGAGACTGTGCCACCGGGCTGGCGTCTGAAGTGACGTCACTCGGCTCTGGCTGAGTGCACACAGGCGCGGGGGCCGGACCATTTCTTTCTTCTTTCCTTCTCTTCCTCCTCCTTCTCTTCTTGCTCCCCCTCGGCACCGCATTTCCGGCAGGTTTTGGGTTGGCCGTCGTAGAAGATGAGTGCTTGAATTCCTCGGATGGTGGTGTACGACGGCACATGCTTCTTCAGTTCAATTTTTACAGCCCGGATCCCGTTCTTCACTCCCTTTCCCTCGTAGTTCGTCCACTTCTCACGCAAGACTTCTTGGATGCGTCTGAATGGCGACAGAGCGACATGGACGTGCTCATTGCCGAGCTCGACGGGCAGACGAAACACTCGAAGAACCTTCGCGCCGATCCCTCCCGCGTCCGAAACGATGACTTCCGAGACACGGTTGGGGGCTTGATGCTTGAACTCATAATAATTCTTCTCTAGGATCATGGAAAGAAGTTCGGGGGGACTTGACCTTGACGAAGAATTTGCGGAGTCCGACTTCAAGTTGCAGCGCCTCAACATCTTCAGTCTTCAATTTCAGGTCGCAGAAAACAAAGCGATGGATTTCAGCAGCGGTCACAGCAGGGGCATTCTGGTGAAACACGGCCACGAACGTGTTACGCCTCCAAATTTCTTCACACTCCATGGCCCGAACACGTGGAAACTAGAGGTTAGGTAGCCCCAGCAGACGACGCACAACACGCCGCTGCGCTCCGCTCGACCCGTCCGCTCCCTTGCTGGATATTTAGGGTCCACTGTCCTGTAACAATCGGGGTGATGACCTGGATCTTTGTCGTGCCCTCCTTAAGGCCAATGGCTTTCAGCACGATTTTGGTGCTAGCCCAGTGGCCTAGTGCGTGGGCCGCAGACACAAAGGCATTGCCAGTCTTCTTACCATACTTGGCAAGTAAGACCTTCCCAGTGTATCCTTCTGCCTCGCCCTTCCTGCCTCCAACATGGTGATTCATAGCCCACCAGTTGAGCTTGGTGGCAACTATCACGCCGGCAGAATTGGCGATCTCGTCCTTGGTGACCAACTTGTTGATCTCCTCGGCATGTTCATTACCGTGAGTGACAACATCGGGGTCAGCGGCATCTTGGTCGACAATATCACCATCAAGGGCTGAGCAGAGGCCTCCGGAAATCGCAGCCACAGCACCATTGACGCACATCTTTTGGCCATCTGCGTCGTCCGCGAATGTCTTATGTGCCCATGCAGCTGCTTATGAGCACTTGGCTTCCGTGCTACCATTTTTTAAGACAGGCAGCTTACGCGTGACATCCAGGGACGCATCTGTTCCGGCTGCAATGCCAATGTCAAGGCTTCCATCAACCTTCGGGAGGTTAAGCTTGAGCTCATCCACCATAATGGCTAGGCGCAAAGGTCCTCTAGTAAATCACACAACAACTTTCGTAGCAGGACAGGGGACGAGAGCTGGCGGCAGACTGAGCTACGCTGACGGCTGAGAGGAGACGAAACAGGAGAGCCTCTTTAGCTGGGCTCAGAATCTCTTCCGAGACGAGCGCTGTACACAACGAACAAATCAGCGCATAGTCATGCGGTTTTCGGCAAATGCTTTTGCATCGCACGAAATGTTCTGTTCAGGTCATGATGAACGACCTTCTTGAAATATAAAATATGCCTGTTTAGTTTACTCAAATTTAAAGAGGCAAATTGCCCGCACAAAATAAAATAAAATTTTGTCCGATATTTTTCCTGGCGCTTTCAGTGCTCAGCAGAGAGTTGAATATGTGTAATAGGTGGATTAAACAAATGTTCCATATTTTATTAAAAACATTGTATGAATATAGTTTGCCAATTTTCACAAAAATTGTACAAGTCTTTTGTGTTTAAACAGCTTGAGACCGTCCTGTGACGACCCGGGTTGATAGTCAGACTGTCTTCGGACGGTCCGGACCGGACTACCGGACTTAAGGGACTGTCCGGTAGCATCGGACTTTTTACGGACAGTCCTGGGTGCTGAGGGCTACTTTCGGACAGTCCGGTATCGGACTCGGATTGCTGACTGACTGTCCTGGAACATATTTAGAAGTGTCCTAGACGATCGGACTGCTTTTGGAACAGTCCCGGACGAGTTTCGGAATGATTTCGTTTTATAAGGGCAAGATTCCGGTACAGTCCGAAGTGCGCTGCCCGGGCGCCTTTCGGGCTAGTCTGAACTAGTCCGTGCTCTGGACTGCCCGAAATATGTCCGTCGAGTAGCACAAAAAAAGAAAAGAGCGGGATTCGATCCCCTACCTGCCAGTCTTCTGCTACTTATACTATAATGCTCTTTCCAACTGAGCTAAGCTGACGGCTGAGAGAAGGAGAAGATACCTCAGGAAGGCCTCTTCAGCCAGGCGCAGCAGTCACTTCGAGGTCGAGCACTATACAGAACGAACGACAGTGCATCGTTATGCGGTTTTTGGCTAAGGCTTTCGCATCACAAATACGCTCTGTACAGAGCATGGCGAACTAAATTTTGCAAATTAAAATGCGCCTGTGTTTCATTTACTTAAAATATCGGAATTAAGTTAATGTATGATCCA